AATGCAAGACTAGAGTTTAGGAAACAGACGGGGAGTGGATATGTAAACCTGGGAGTCTTTTGTAGATAGATGACAGTTGATAGGGAATTGATGAGATTACTAAGAGAGGAAGTACAGAAAGAAAACAAGTGGCTCAGGTGCCATCTATAAGTAGGGAATAGTAGAGAATGGGATAAGGATGATGGTTCTACAGAGGAAACTGAGAAGGGGCAGCCAAGTAGATAAGAGAACTAGGAAACAACAGTGTTATGAAACCTAAGGATGAGAATGCTTACTATGTGTTGGACACTGTACAAAATGCTCATATAAAACTCTCTCTGTAAAACTCAACACTGGTATCATTGAGGATGCTTTGTATTCTCTCATTTTGTCCAAAACATTATGTTGGGTATAGTTACTTAATGATGAATGATGACTGAGAATATAACTAAGACAATCCAGGGCTGCACCATTTTAAAAAATCCTATTTGGCTTGTAAAAAATTTTCAAGCCTTGGTTCTCTTCATTACTCTAACATTTAGGTTTTGTCTACACTCGTATCAGCAATGTTAGCTGAAAGGTGAAATATTCATCATCTTTTTTATAAATGTAGTTCTAAGCAACCTAGTTGGACTGATTCCCATCCTACCACCTTCTTCTACTACCCAATTATTGTTCATATAGCAATACAGAATAGTTTCTGTGTCCATGGTGCTCATCTTTAGAGAGTTTTACATCATAAAAGTAGTTTATAAATCTTTGAACACCACTTTTAACTCCCTACGAGAGTAACTGTTAACGGAAACAGTGAAAAGTGGAAGACTCAAATCCATGGACTCACTAGAATGTTGGCAGAAAGAGCAGCTATTTGGGAAGAGCTGACAAAAATTAGGGCTAAGTTTAATCACTACTGACAAGCAAAAGAAGTAAATGATGGCACCTTCATGTCTTCACATGTAATAGCAGGCGATTTTAAAACTAGGGCAAGAAAGTATAATAAAGATGGGAGCTTTTGGGGAAGAAGAGTGAGATGAATCTGCTTCCATTCCCCTTGGGCATACACACAAGCTTATTCTCTGGCTTCGCTTATCTTGCCCTGTTGTAATTCCATCATGAATTTATTCCCATCCTGTTAACTCAACATTCCAACTAATGTAAGACTTCTAAGCACTGTCTAAATTGTTCTCTTACCTTCACATCTTGGTTTTAAGTCTCCTAATCTGAAATCTATAAACACTGAAGCTTCATAATTTATGTGAAGATATTGGATCCTTTTGCAGGAGTTGTTTTAGAGACCCAGAACAATTTCTGAAAAGTCTGGGGTTAGTTTTCATCAATAAGTGTTGGTAGTAATATGATCAACCTGATAATAAGATGAACATTTCTAGAGTCTTTAAGTTTGTAAAATGCTTTTACCATGTTTACAACAGACTTATGAGGTCAGTGCTATTATTTCTACTTGACAGATGAAGCATGCTTTAAGTCTTTCAGCTCCTTCTGATCAACTGGGAATGAACTTGGACCAGAGGAGTCAATGTGGTATGCTGGAAAGGGTACTGGAGTACTGAACTCAAGTACATGAACTGAAGTCATGGGCTTTCAGTCAAAAATTGCTGCTCTTCCATTTCCTACCTGTGACCTTGGACAAGTTGCTTAAACTCTTACAGTCTCAATGTTCTCATTTGTAAAATCAATGCCTTTGACTAGATGATTCTGAAGACCCCTTCCAGTTCTAAATCTAGAATCCTGTCATGGGTGTGGGGAGTTGATAATGCTATATAACTTACAGGAGTAGAGAGGTGATAGTCCCTCTGAATTTTGCCCCTATTAGACTTCAGGACAGTCTCAAAAACTGTCTCCAGAGTATTATGTTCAATTTTAGAGACCATGGTTTAAGAAGGAAATTGATTATCTAAAGAATACCCAGAGGAGGACAATCAGACAGTAAAGGGACTTGAGCCTTTTCAATCAATTGAAGGGACTGGGCATGTTTAGCTTGGAGAAAAGAAGTCTCAGGGAGGGAGATAAAGTGGTCATTTTTTAATATCTAAAAGGCAGTCATGTGGAGAAGGGATTAGACATCTTCTGTTTGTCCTGAAAAGGCAGACTTAGGCCTAAGTAGTGGGTAGAAGCCACAAGGCAAATTTAGTCTTAATGTTGAGAAAAACTTCTAACAAGTGGAATTGTGTAAATGTGGAATGGATTGCCAACAAGTAGGGGCTAAGCTAGAGAGATGGTCACTTGTCAGGTACATTAAAGCGAACATTCCTTTCATCTATAATTTGGATTAAATGACCCCTCCTGAAGTCCCTTCCAACTCTCAGATTCTGTGATTCTTCAGAGAAATAAAGACAACAGGAAGATATGTAGATCTAGATGCTGAAATTCATAAACTGAGCAATCCATGAACTTAAAAAATATTATGATGACTGTATTTTGATATAATTGATTGATTATCTTTATAAACCTATGTTTTTATTTTATACATTTAAAAATATTATTCTCAGAAGGGGTCCTTAGGCTTTACCAGAACACCAAAGGGGGCCATGATCCAGAAAAAGTAATGAATCTTTGATGGAAGGAAAAGAAAAGTATTTGCTCATCTGCGTAAAGGTTGTGTCCTTGAGTAAAATGCTCCTTCAGGGCAGGGATTGATTTGTTTGTTCCTTTTTATCCCTACTGCCTAATACAGTGCTTGGCACAAATTTTATCCTTAATAAAAACCTGTTAAATGGAATTAAATTGACATTTACAAAAGTTAAATCATGTATTTAAGCAATAAGGGAAAGGACATAACAATAATGATAACAATAATAATACCTAACATTCATAGAGTACCTTAAAGTTTAAGAAACACTTTATACATCATATTTCATTTGAAATATGTCCCTATGCAGTAAAGGTTGTTATGATTCTTATTTTTCAGATGAGGAAACTGAGATCCAGAGAGGTTAAGTGACTTGTAGATGGTCACATGGCTAGTAATAATCAGAGGGAGGACTTTAACATGGGTCTTCCTGATTTTAAGTCTAGTTCTCTATTTACTATTCCACTAAGATGTGATAACACTGCAGTTGAACAACTCTCTGAGCCCAATGGTCTTGACCAAATTTCAAAACAAAAACAGACAAAAACCTTTTGTCCTGCATTGAGACAAGTGGCCAGAATTTGGGTCCTGTAGGCCAATGTTAGTTGAGTCTGAAAGGAATAGCAACTGAGAAGAACTTGCCAAAGCTGCATTGCTGAACATTAATTAGTTGATTTTGCCTCTTCACTTCTCATATTCAAGGTGCAAATTTGGATCCTTAAAGCTGTCTCAATTATTCATTTAATAATGTTGAATCCTGGAAGTTAGAGTAATCACAAGAAAGGCCACAAACATTAATTCAAAATTAAATTTGCATACCAATTAAATGAGAGTACAAAAATTACTAAAAGCAGACCTTTTTCACATATTGTATACTCATTTGAGCCAGCTCCTCGTGCCTTCTTCTCTAATCTTGGCATGGTGTAGTAGAGAGGGCAAATGGGCATAGGACTTAGGAGATCTGGGTTCAAATCCTACCTTAGACACACAGTGATAGTATGGTTATGAATACATCACTTAACTTCTTCGAATCTGCAAAGAAATGAGATGTGGTATGGAGAAGGGTCATCATTGTTCCTTTTATATGAATGGATTGTAGAGCAGGGTAGAGCACAAACTCTTGGGAATAATGAGAGTCAAATACTCTCACAATTTATGTTAAACCCTGATCCTGCTATCAACAACATCTCTCTTTACCTCCTCCCATTCATTCCCACCCCTACTGTCTTGGTGTTTCTTCCAGATTGCCTACTTTAAGAACCACTTGTATTTAGTTAGTATGCTTCAAGTGAGGGATATTTAAAATAGAGCCTAACATTACTAGAAACAATTTAAATTAGGAAAATATATTTCATTATTCAGACATTATTAAATTATCTAGTGGTTTTAAAAACTTGACAGATAGATGTTATCTCCATATAGATAGAATTAATATCTTCTGATGCTAAAGTCATTTAGGTCTTGTCATTGACATTAAAAATTATCACCTGGGTTTAAAAGAGTAAGTGGGTCTTTATCGTACTGTAAACCTCTAACATGGTGGTAGGCACACTGGGGGATGTTCAAGAAATACTTGATGGTGAGACATCTGAAAACTGAAATGAAGTCAATGGGAGAGTATCAATGGTAGAATCAACAAATTTAATAACTGTACAATGTAATTCTGGTCAGAGATTTTAGAATTTGTCATATAGTCTTGAGTGGCTTAGTTATATGTACATGAACTGCTTTAAAAACCAATTACAGAAATATGGTAATGTTCTATTTTTAGCAACAAATGAAAAAGAAATGTTTTTTTTCAATATCTCTGTAGACCAAATGCAGCTGCCAACACATTTCAGTACTGAATGCATACTTTAACATTTTTTTGAACAATTTGCTACTTGAAGTTAAAGACTAAGTAGTTGCAGAATGTTAAAAAAAATTTTTACTTTTTCAATATGTCCATGCTATTACTACATACAAAGATGGAGTTGAAAGTATGAGGAAAAAAAATTAAATTACTGCCATGACCTCTTGTCTCAAAACTATTGGCAAAGAGAAGAAATGTAAATTATTTTTGTATCTCAATTGGATTCTCTTACATGGAAGTATATTTAAAGACTGTTCTATTTATGTGATATAGGCATAAATAAACCAAATGTTTTCATAGGAAAAAGACAATAATGATGATGTAATTGATACAATCTGAATATTGGTACATTTCTAAGAAGAGGAGGCAAGATGAAGAAGGGTGCACTTACCATATTATAACAGAAGGCCAACATGGCTTCCATATTCTATTATACACAATTTTTAAGCTAAGCAGTGAAGCAACAATCAGTAATTTCATTGCCAAGTCCATTTTATGTTTGCAATACTGAGTCTTTTAAAATAATTCTTCTGAAAATCTTCTAAACACACCTTAAATATATTTGAGAAATATGATCAATGGCTAGGGAGGTGAGTTATTTTCAGCAGTTCTTATCTGAGCTGAGTTCAAAAGAACACCCACTCTCCATAGGTATAAAGTAAACAAAGGGAATTCATCTGAGAGATGGAGAATAGTTTGATCAAGCTGCTCAAGAAACTTCTTAGTCTCCTGTTCTGCAGGGCCTATACTTGGCATAATAGTGTCTTCTGTTCCATCCTGAAGCAGCTGTTCTAGAATCCAGAAGAGAGAGAACATGTTCTCATAGCATGTCACATCATACCCAGCTTGGACCTACAAATAATAAAGGAAAAAATAATCTTGGTGAAAATACAGTAGTGGCCAACCTTAGAAAACTACAATATTCTCAGACAAGGAAAACAATATG